TAGACTTTATCATTTGACAGAGTATTCAAATCGATCGAAGCGTTCAGGTCCAGATGACGAATTCTGCTTGAATGTACGCCTTAATCTTAATCCTAGAAAAACGAGTGTTGACGACTCGAGTGTTGACGACTCGAGTGTTGACGACTCGAGTGTTGACGACTCGAGTGTTGACGACTCGAGTGTTGACGACGGGCATACCGAACACCCATCTGACGAAGATCATGTTGATACCTGTAAGATGATAACAGTGCACATCTCTATGCACACGTTCATTGACCCTACAGGAAGATCCGCCTTTGGGTTAGAATTAAGAACATCGCAAGGCCTGTCGTTAGAAGACTTTCCAAATATTGACGTCATCCCTCATTACGGCGAGAATAACACTATGAATCGTATACATCGTCAATGGGGGGAAGTTATAATTACCCCTGTGACAGTAGAAATGTGCAATGAGCTTGGAGTAACATCTGTGCTTGAGTGGCCAATACAGGTGTCCTTGACGTATGATGACACCATAGCTAGGGACGCAAAGTCCGCTTGTTTTGACTCAAGAGAAGGTGGCTATAGCCATCCTTTGACGCGGAACGATGACGCAGACTCTTTATCTGAGTCGCTAGAGAAGATATCCCCTCCTCGCTGTGTCACAGTCGCTGTCCTGGACACAGGGATTCTCGCTTGCCGTAGTGAATTCCTTGGTAAGATCGCCGCTATCAAGAATTTCGTGCCGAACGAAGCGAATGACCTCTGTTATGACTATAATGGTCACGGAACGGGTTGTGCAGGTATCGTGCTTCAGACCGCTCCTTTTATACGGTTGGTGATCTGTAAGGTGATGAGTAGTCAAGGATGCGGTCAACCGAAATGGGCGGCAGATGCCATTGATTGGTTGTTGAATGACGAGTCCGGCCCCAAGAACTACTGTCCAGTTGACATTATTTCCATGTCGTTTGGCTGGAGCTCCTTTGATTCCAACTTGAGACGGGCAGTTTCCGACGCGATTGTCCAAGGTAAAGTGGTGGTTGCTGCCGCAAGTAACGACGGGAGAAAGAAACTCACGAACATCGCCTTTCCCGCTCGTTTTGGGGACGTGATCTGTGTGGGAAGCTGCAACAATTTGGGTCAGCCGTCTTCCTTCACCCCGACTGGACGTGAGGTCGACTTCCTTGCACCTGGGGAAAACATACAAACCCTAGGTTCTGACGGCTTTGACCACTTCAAAAACATGTCCGGAACATCAGAGGCAACACCAGCAGTTGCCGGCATCGCAGCCATGGTGATTTCCTACGCTGAAGCTACAGGTATTACTAGATTTAGTTTCTCTTTATATGATTTTACAGATATTACTTACTTTTAAAGTTGTTGAAATGAAGTGTGATCCAAATATAAGCTCTTCGATTTTCGTCGCAAACTAGGTGACGAAAAGCTTAGTTATTAGCTCGAAACGGTTGTAAATTGATATCTTACAATGTTGAAATACATCAGTCAATGGAAATTATCCCTCCAGGTGGACAAGAGATGCGTTCTGCCGTCTGCCACACAGCTGTCATGCGAGAGGTTCTTCGCAAGATGGCGTCTATGCCTGGTCACCACGACGAGCACATGGGGTAAGTATATATATATATATATATATATATATA